CTCAATTCGTAGTAGATCCAAACCATAAAAAAAGTGAAGAAACAAAGGGAAAAAAAAGAAGAGAGAGGTGGGAAAACAAAAAGAAATAGGAAGAAGAGAGAAAGGTGGAAAAGAAGAAAGCAAGACAAAAAAGAAGAAAATAAGAAAAAGAGAGAACATAGGTATTGAAATTTTTTTTTTTTTAAATGCATGGGCTAGAGAGAGTGACTACATGGATATTGAAAACTTAAAAAAAGGCATGGGCTATAGCCCATACAGCCCAATAGCTGGATTCATCCCTGCTACTAAGCACATGTACATGCAAACATCTAAATGCCACTAGAAACAGGGAAACTGGCCAAACACTTGTGTAGACAACTCGGGCAAGTGGGGAGGGAAATCCCCGTCAGACAGCTCTACAATAAACACAACTCACTACAAACATCGGTAGGTAACAGAGAAAGGGAAGTCCTCGTCAGACAGCTCTACATTAAACACAACAACCTGCAAACATCGGAAGGTAACAGAGGAAGGGGGAAACTGGCCAACCACCTGGGTATACATCTCGGGCAGGTGGTTGACCAAATCTTGGTCGAAGAACTATCTACTAAGCACATGTGCATGCAAACATCTAAAGGCAACTAGGAACAGGGAAACTGGTCAACAACCTGTGTAGACATGTCGAGCAGGTGGGTGAGGAAATCTTGGTCAAAGAACTATCTACTAAGCACATGTACATGCAAACATCTAAAGGCAACTAGGAATAGGAAAACTAGCTAACCTCCTGTGCAGACAAATCGGGCAGGTGGGAAGGGAATTCCTCGTCAGACGGCTCTACATTAAACACAACTACCTGCAAACACCAGAAGGTAACAGAGGAAGAGGGAAACTGCTCAACCACCTGTGTAGACGTGTCGAGCAGGTGGCTGACTAAATCGTGATCGAAGAACTATCTACTAAGCACATGTACATGCAAACTTTTAAAGGCAACTAGGAACTGGAAAACTGGCAAACCACCTATGCAGACAAATCGAGGAGGTGGGTAAGGAAGTCCTAGTCAAATAGCTCTACATTAAACACAACTACATGCAAACATCGGAAGGTAACACAGGACAGGGGAAACTGGCCAACCACCTGTGTGGACATGTCGGGCAGGTGGCTGAAGAAATCTTGGTCGAAGAACTATCTAGTAAGCACATGTACATACGAACATTTAAAGGAAACCAGGAAAAAGGAAACTGGCCAACCACCTGTGTAGACAAATCGGGCAGGTGGGTAGCGTTAGATAATGCTTGTCAGTGCAGTGGGCTAAGTGGGCTTGGGCCTACGAAACCTTGTAATTCTTACAAGTTTGCATGTGAAAGTGGTAAACTCACACCACTGCCTCCCCACATGCCAAATTGTAGCCTTGCTTGGCATGGCATGTGTGCATTAACTAGGCTATTTTTTTATAGCATGATAGCGATTGGGCTTTAAAATATGCATGGGCCTGTCCTATGATTTTTTGGGCCTCAACATTAGCCCCCTTGATTATTGGGGCCCTGAAGTAGCGGAGAGATGGGCCAAGTAATCAATTTCAGCCCTAAAAATAGAAAGCCTTTAAAATTGGGGATGGTTCAAATAACCCTTGTGATTTATCTTTTGATGGTATGCATGAGATAGTAATGCATGTTGAGTAACGATACAAAATTTGAAGTGATTGTTGTGGAAATTGGCTAACCCAAGAGATAAAGGAAAGATTGCTTTTGATAAACAGATAGTTGGAATTTGCACAATCGAACGCAATTGATAGACAGAAATTTGGAAATTGCAAAACTAAATGCAATTGACGAGTAGATAGTGAGAAATTGCAAAACCGAATGCAATTGATGAGCAGAAAGTGGGAAATTGCAAAATGGAGTGCAATTGACAAACAAAATTGGAAATTGACAAGGTGTGATGACAAGTATAATCAGAGTAGTGAAAAAATGATTATAATAATAATATAACCATACGATTATAGTGTGGGAAAAGCTTGTGAGGAAATCAAAACTCAATGGCTCTGAAAGGAAGTGCTGAGGAAAAGCCACACTTAACTTCTCATAAGTGGAGTGCCTTTTATTTGTTTACCTAAAAGTTAATAAGTCTTTCTGTAGAAAACTTATAATATTAAAAGGTTGGGTCAGGGGCTTACTCCTTTCAGCGAATTTGAGAGTTTTAACTTGCTTTTCAGTATTTCAGCATGTGCTGCCGTGCTTCTTCATTCTCTCCTTTCCCCTTCAGCTCTCCCTTCTCTTCTTCAAGACCCAAACCCGTGGCTACTGTTCATCGAAACAGAAGTCATATTTCTGATGCTCAGATCGAAAAACTTCCTTGATGAAAGTTGTTCATCTGCTCGACTACTATAGCCTGTAAAAACTTGGGAATTTTTGGAATTTTTCTGACGCCACCAAGTTGGTCTGCCATCTCTGTGTCTATTTATTGCTGGTGAGTGCTTGCAGATTCTGTTTCTGCACTTGTTTTTTAATATCTGCCGCTCTGATAATTATGCCTGCTTCATGAAATTTGCTTGAAATTGTGTTGTTTACAATATATCCAAAATTGAGGATCATCCAACCGTTGTAGTGTTCCCTGCCCTGATTTTTCTGAAGTGTGTTTATGGATTGATGTTGATGCCATTGATGCATGCTTGTTTTCTTGAAGCTTGAGTTCCTTTGTTTTTTTTTTTTTTTTCAAAACTTTGTGAATTAGGCACTGAATTCTGAGGTTGAGCTTGTGATTTAGGGTTTTTAGCTTGGTGATGAACAAAACCTACACAAGCTTTCCTAATTAATGCACGCTAAGTGTTTGTGAAAAAGTCTCAAAGTACCCTGTGGTTGTTCTTTGACCTTTCGAAATTTTGTCATTTGAATATGATCTGGAGATTTTGACACATGAAAGTAGACTTCTTAATGGCTGTGTTGGAATTGGTTTTGTGGCTTTTGAAGGAAAAATGAATTTGTGGTGTATTTTCAAAGTAAGGGCTAAAGCTGCTGGAATTGTGCAGTTTCTGCTGCATGACCTGTTTTAGAAATTTGTTTGGCATGCTTCCCTAACTCCAAATTCAACGAAATTTTGGGAAAGTGAGGGTTGACACGTCTAGTTCTAATCTGGAAGGTTTGGGATTTGTTGGTTGTAAACTTAATTTCTACTGATTTTTTTGAGTGTGGGATGTTCCAGCTAGAGTAGTTGGAAAGCTTGTGCATAAGTTTTGCTTGGCATGTTGATTTTGTTTGAGAATTCAGCATGTCCTTCCTCTTGATGAATCTTACCATTATTCCTTGTCTTGCTTGTAGGTATTCACATGGTGCATTTTAATGGGTTCCCGCATTTCACCTAGGTTACCGCCAGTGATGAAGGATAACTTGTTTTCCCTTGATGATGGCTTAAGGAGGGGACGGCCCCCTCCGTCGTCCAAGAATCTTTGCGAAGGTCCACTTATAGATGAAGAGCCAACGGCAGAGGCAGCTCCTATTATAGATCCCACATCTATCTCCAGATGTTGCATAGAAGGAGGCCTATTTCCGGCGGTCCCTGTATTCTTTCAATATCCTTGTGGCATTACTGGGTGTTGGTCAGAATGGGTCGAGCATGAGTTAGGGGACCCGATTAAACGAGATACCTTGCGGAAAGCTGCGGTGTTAAATGCCATTTTTGCATCCAAACGATGTGAAATCCACTTAGAAGTGCAGCTACTTCGCCATGTAATCAGGAGATGGAGTTCGGAAACACACACTTTCATATCTTCGTGGGGGGAATTCACTCCTACACTTGAAGATGTGGTAAATATTCTTCATCTTCCCATTGTTGGTACTCAAGATCCTTTTAACATTATACTGGATGCCAAAGACAAAGAAAGGCTTGAGATCCTTAAAAGGGGTGCCATGGGTAAGCACTCTCTTCGGTTTAATAGCTGGGTGAAACATTTCGGTGATAAAGACAAAAGGCATTCATGTGGTCTTTACGCACTTGTATCCTTATGGCTTGGAAAGTTTGTGTTTTGTGATTTCTCTCCGGATTGTGTGCATGAGAGAGTGTTTCCTTTAGCACTGGCAATCGCGCGAGGTGATGTGATTCCGTTAGCCCCCATGTTCCTGGGGTACTTGTATCGTTTGCTAGATCAGGTGCATCTTCTTGAGAAAGGTGCGGCCGGAACTATGGCAGTGGAGAGTTTTCTCAATTCGAGCTTTTTGCAGGTGTTTCTATGGGAGCATATTAAAGGTCTGGATGTGCACCCACTGCCTTATTCACAAGCTGGACTGTTTGTTCGTGCTGGTGATGATTCATACACGCCAGATATGCCCCTTTTGATTTCTCGGTGGTTTAGAAGAAAGCCGAGGAAAGGCCAAAACTTCCTTGAGCTACTGGACGACATTCAACATTTCATTTTTCGCCCGTATACCAAGGTACCGATAGGATTTGCACACGTGTCCTTTTATGAAGGAGTAGGAGAAACTTCCATAATAATACCAAGGGGTGAGCAATCAAGAAAAGATGCATATCTGAACATGGCAGGCCTCCCACTGTTTACGTTTGGTGATGATCATTCTGAGGTGTCCGTTCATTACTTGACTCACCGGATTATACGACAATTTGGGCTTGATCAAGGTGTCCCAGCAAGACCCGACTTTCGCCATCCATTTGGAATGCACAAGGTATTTTGGAGTAGAGTAAGGGTGCCAGATGATGGTAGACTATTTGCCCTTGCTTTGGCTAGCAGGGAGAGGATCGGCGGTTGCTCAAAAGGCCACCGTACTTATTGGAATCGTTGCTTTGCCTATTTTACTCGGTTTCATGCGAGTTCTCCGCAAAGGCTGCTCCCTTCCATTGATCATCACCGAAGATTGATATCGGAAAAGAGAGCTATTGCACTCAGTGAGAGGCGAAACTTGGAATTTACTTCTAAGGATGGCAAAATCGTAGGAAGGTCCTTGGAGTCGGCAAAAGGAAGCACTGTGCTGCAAAAATCAATAGCTAAGCAAGGCGTGAGCGAGAAGCGTTCTTCATTGAGAAAAAAGAAATTCAAACCCAAAGTGGCAACGATTGGACCTCCCAGGAAGAAACTTTCTCCTCCCATCGGCCCTAAGCAGGCTACGGTGCCAACCGCATCAGTCCCAAGTTAGTGCCGGAAACCCCCAGCACCTACATTTTGCTTACAGTAATGCATGTACATTTACATATACATATACTTAATTCGTTTGTTACCACGTAGGCGCTTCTTTGAGGAAGAGGAAACGTCGAGGTTCCCACCTGGAAGATATAAGTACTTCAAGCACTCCTGAGCTCGATAGTGAAGATGATGGAACTGATTTTGCACATATGGGAAGGAGTGAGTCACCCATTGGCGACATACCGGCTGATCATGCATACGGTCGAGGTGATGAAGTTGGTGATGGTGGTTTAGCTGGCTTGGACCATTCTTTGGAGGAACCGCTCTGCTCGGACGCCTCCCTTGGATTTGTCCACGACGCCACAACCTCCACGCCACGTAATGTCGACTTGGTATACTTTATTCGTTGCATTTACCTTGATCCTGTGCATGCCATCTTTTTCCACGTATATCTAAGATTGATCCATATTTTCTTTTTATCTTGCAGGTGGACATTACTCAGGATAAAGAGATTCACGTGGCAAGCACATCATCAACATTTGATATAGTGATCAATACTTCTAGCGAGGACTTACCTTTGGTAGACATGTCGGGGTATGACCCTTCTTGTTATGAGTTAGAAGATGCATTTAGTGCCTTTATGGTTTTCTTCGATAGTGACACAAGAATACTTAGATCCACTGACGAGCTTCTTCCACTGTGCTACGAATTCCGAGGTTATGAGACATTCCGAGGGGCGCAAGTATTCCCGGAGACCGTGAGAGCTTTGAGTAAGTTTTTTGATAGCTATGAGGCTCGCATCGAGAGTGCCCGCAATCTATCTTTTTCTTCGAAGAATCTGGCATTTCGTGGTCTTGGTTTGTCTTTATATGGCATGGATGTCACGTCATATTCGGAGATTTCTGACCATAAACTTCTTTGTTGGAGAGATACGATCCGTGACGCCATCTCATATGGGCTTCAAGTGGGTTTCCTGCTTGACATATTGAAGATGAGGTTAGCTCGTGCTGTTTTTGAGACACGAGCTGCTTGCAGTGCAGCGATATCCATTCAATTCCTCAAAGTAGGGGCAACATCTCAAGCTTTGAAACTCAAACATCAGGAATTGGATAGTGAATGTCACAAGTTGCGTGAGCTCTTACTTGAGAAGGGGATTTCTTCCAACAATGCTGGCTACGTATTGGAGGCTGCGAAAGGGTCACCTTGCAATGCCTCGTCCATATTGTATGATACACACTAGTTGAGGTTTGCGTTTTGCTTCATTTTCTATATACATTTTCTTTTTGAAGTGCAGGGGCTTTATTCCCCTTCCCTTCCTTTTGGTAATACTTGATCATACTTTTGCAGGCTTGTTATAGCTTGATCTACCGAAGTGTATATGTCGAGACGCATTCAGGTGCTGAGGTGCTGCATATGGCACCAAGAAGCAATTTAGGCACCGTGCCCCAGTCCTGCAACAATTTAGGCGATTTGCACTAGCCTGCAGCCATTTGGGAGATTTGCACTGGCCTGCAGCTATTTAGGCGATTTGCACTAGCCCTGCAGCTATTTTGGTGATTTGCACCCTGCAGCTATTTTGGTGATTTTGTACCCTGCAGCTATTTTGGTGATTTGCACCCTGCGGCTATTTTGGTGACTTGCACCTTGCGGCTGTTTTGGTGATTTCCACCCTGCGGCTATTTTGGTGATTTGCAGCCTGCGGCTATTTTGGTGACTTGCACCCTGCGGCTATTTTGGTGACTTGCACCTTGCGGCTGTTTTGGTGATTTCCACCCTGCGGCTATTTTGGTGATTTGCAGCCTGCGGCTATTTTGGTGACTTGCACCCTGCGGCTATTTTGGTGACTTGCACCCTGCAGCTATTTTGGTGATTTGTACCCTGCAGCTATTTTTATCACCTTTCTATCACCTGTGTATCACTCTTTTTTTTCTTTTTTTTTTCTTTTTTTTTTGTGTGTGTATACTACTACTTGTGCATGATGCTTAGTAATAGCTTGGGATCCCATCAAAGCGACTTTGCTTGATACTTACTGCTAATTCATCCTGCTTGTTTGTTGCGACAAAATTTGCTAAATGGCAAGAAAAACCCCCTTTTCCGAAAAACATTCCTCCATTTTCCATTAAAAGAGTAGTTTTCACCTTCAAACGCTACCATGATGGAGCATTTCACAAAATTTTCTGAAAATCGGTGAGAGTTTACAGAAGGAACTCCCTGACTAAAAGAGGAAATGAAACAAGGACTAAAGACAAATGCAGGAATGACTTAACAGTAGTATGGCTTGAGCCACTTTCCGTTGATGGGATCCGTTAATGTGCCTTCTTTGACTGAGATGAGGCAATAGTAGCCACTACTATAAGCCTCCTTGACTGTGAATGGACCCTCCCACGGTGGTGCAAACTTGGAGGGTCCCGATACTTGCCTCCTCATATGATCAGCAACTCGAAGCACTAAATCACCATGTTTGAAGCTCCGTGGCTTGACCGTTCTGTTGTAAGCTTGGGCAACTGTCTTGTGGTACAACATCATCTTCTTCTCAGCTTCTGCTCTTTTTTCTTCTAAAGATTCTAAGTCTATACAACGCCAGTTTGAGCATGATTTTGCATCCCACTCAATGTCGTTGACAGACAGAACCCTGGCTGTGGGGACAGTGATCTCAACAGGGGAGATCGCATCAGATCCGTATACAAGTGAAAAAGGGGAGAAGCCTGTGGCGCTTCTTGAAGAGGTGCGGTAAGCCCACAGAGCATCTGGCAAGTGGAGGCTCCACCCCCCTTCGTATTCATATACCATTTTGCTCAGAATTCTCAGGAGAGTTTTGTTGGTAGCTTCAGCTTGACCATTTCCCTGTGGGTAATATGGTGTGGAACGTCGGTGCTTGATGCCATATCCGTTGAGTGTCGAGTTCACTTGCTTGTTGACAAAAGGTGTGCCGTTGTCGGTGACGATCTTGTACGGAATTCCAAACCTGCATACAATGTGTTCTCTTATGAAATTTGATACTGCAGCTCCTGTGGCCTTTCGAAGGGGAACTGCCTCCACCCATTTTGTGAAATATTCAGTGGCAGTGAGGATCCATATGTAACCATCTGAAGGCGGGTGAATAGTTCCAATCAAATCAAGCCCCCAGGTGTGGAAGGGCCAAGGAGTGCGCATGTCTTGTAACAGTGTTGGGGGCTTGTGACTCAGGTTCCCATGAACTTGGCATGCATGGCATTTTTTGACGAAAGTGTGTGCGTCGTTTTTCATTGTGGGCCAGTAGTACCCTAAGCTCAGCAGCTGTTGGTGAAGCCTCTTTCTTCCCTGGTGTTCCCCACATTCTCCGGCATGTATTTCCTTCAAAACTTGTTGTGCCTCTGATTCCCCTAAGCACTTCAGTGGCTCCCCATTGAACCCCTTGCGATACAGAGACATTCCATCCATGAAGTACCTTTTAGTAGTATTCTTTAGCTTGTTTGCATCCCTGGGATTAGTTGGCAGTGATCCCTCAATGAAAAAAGCTATGTACGGGGCTCTCCAATCTTCTGTGAACGAGGTTGTAAGTGTTTTCTCCATCGTGGTCATTGTGGAACACTTGGGACAGTTGGCTTGAGTTTCGGCAGCGTGTTTCTTCATCTCTGGCCAGTAGTAACCTTTGCGCTGTAGGCGCCGGTACAAGCTAACCACTTGATCCAGTCCGCAAGAAGCGTCATGTACCTCTTGGAGTCTTTCTCGTGCCTCTACTTCCCCTATGCAACGTGTCAAGACACCGCCAGGGAGGCGCTTGTATAGCTCCCCAAAGATAACTGCGTACTCTTTTAGGCTCTTAATATTGCTCCCGTCTTTTAGCAGAGCAAGTTCATTCTGAATAGGGATTCTCCAATCATCCTTTTCCAACGGCTCATTTGTAGAGATGGCTTCGATTATGGGCATGTCCCTCCTTATTACCGAAATGTTGGGCTGTTCTTTAATGAATGAGAGTCTTGATCCCAAAGTAGCAAGAGCATCAGCATACCTGTTAGTATTTCCGGGGATGTGTTCCATCACGACCTGCTCAAAAGTACTGATAAGTTTTTCAGCGGCTGTGCGATACGGTGCCAGAACAGGTTCCTTTACTGCAAAACTGCCCTGTAGCTGACTTAGTACCAAGTTTGAATCTCCGATGACTTTGACTTTCTTTATGCCCATCTCTTTTGCCGTGGACAGACCCATAAGAAAAGCTTCGTATTCAGCTACATTATTTGTGCAGGGAAAATTGAGTTTGAATGAGAGAGTCGTGGCCTGTCCTTCAGGGTTAATGAGCACCACTCCTGCTCCTCCTCCGTTAGCAGTAGAAGAGCCATCAAAATACAGGGTCCAAGGTTCCTCCCCTGCGGCTACTGCTACTACTTCCGGCAGCTCTCCTGGAATATCCTCAATAAGAGTAGATTCTTCAACCTCAGGAAACAAGGCTAGCATGTCAATCATAGCCTGCCCCTTGATTGCCTTGGGGGTTATGCATGTGATGTCAAACTCAGATAATTGTAAGAGCCAGCGCGCTAGTCGTCCAGACAATACAGGTCTTGTGAGTAAGTATCTTACTGGATCACATTTCACCATGAGTTGCAACTTGTGAGCGAGGAAGTAGTGACGTAGACGCTGTGAAGCATAAACAAGAGCGAGACACAGGCACTCGGTCTTTGGATAGCGCATCTCAGCCCCCCTTAATTGCCTGCTAACATAATAAATGGGGTTCTCGTTGCCATCATTGTTATCTTGAGCAAGCAGAGCACCTACGGCAGTACTTGTTGAGGCCAAATAAAGCTTGAGCGGGACCCCTGGGGTAGGTGCTGTCATAGTAGGCAGTCTTGTGATCAATTGCTGCACCTGTTGATATGCTTCCTCACACTCTTTGCCCCACACAAATTTCTTTCCCTTCTTGTGCAGGGGAGTGAAAGCACCTGTTACAGCTGCTAGACCAGGAATGAAGCGCCGTATGTATGATAACCTTCCCATAAGGCTTTTTAGCTCTTTTGGGTTGGCCGGCGGCATGAGAGAACTTATGGCCTTAGTCTTGTTAGGATCAACATCGATGCCTCGCTGGTGTACTAAGAAACCCAAAAATTTGCCTGCTGAAACACCAAATGCACATTTCTTGGGATTCTTCTTTAAGCCATATAATCGACATCTTTCCAGTACCTTTCTTAGAACTTCCCAGTGGCCTTCTCTTGTTTTGGACTTTACAACTAAGTCATCCACATAATCTTCCACTTCTCTTCCCATCATATCATGGAACACTGCCGTCATGGCCCGTTGATAAGTAGCTCCAGCATTTTTGAGACCAAACGGCATAACCGTGTAGTAAAAATTCCCATAAGGCGTCCGAAAAGCTGTTTTCTCTGCATCTCGTGGTGACATTTTTATCTGGTTATACCCACTGAATCCATCCATGAAAGATAACAGACCCTGCCCAGAAGTTGAGTCAATCAAAATGTCCATGTTGGGGAGTGGAAACTCATCTTTGGGGCATGCCTTATTGAGATCTCTGAAATCAACGCATATCCTTATCAGACCATCCTTTTTCTTTACAAGGACTATGTTTGCCAGCCAAGTAGGATGCTTGATAGGTTTGATGAACCCAGCAGCGATGAGTTTTTCTATTTCCGCCTTGATTTGCACTTCTACATCAGGGTGGAAATTTCTCCTTGGTTGCACCATTGGTTTCGTGCCTGCTTCAACGTTTAAAGTGTGGCATACTAGGCTAGGATCCAAGCCCGGCATCTCCTCATAACTCCAAGCAAAAACATCATTGAATTCTTTCAATAGGCTTACAACTTTTTCTTTTTCTTTGGCCGTCAAATGAATGCTGATGGAAATGGGCTTCTGGATGGAGGGATCTTCACTTAAGTTGATTGTCTCTAGTTGCTCTGCCACGGCTGTGAAGCCGTCTTGCATACATTTAGGTGCCGGCATGGGTTCTTGAAAGGTAGAAGGGGTAGGCACCTCCTTGATTCGTTCATTGCGCATTTGCTTTGGGACTCCTCCTGACTCGAGGCCCTCCCACGAGACGTGGTCTGGCCTCCAAACCCGTCATAAACGGTAAACGATGCGCCCGTCTGGTAATGTAACTTTTGAGCATTGCGGCGGGGTATAGGTATGATGATTGACTTCAGGGTGCTTTGCCCTTTCTCGATCCACAATGATCATAAGCTCTGAGTCACCAAGATCACGGATTTCAGCCCACCCAGGTAAGTGTGTCCCGAAAGCTTTGGATGGATTGCCTCCGGCGCCTGTGCATTCATTGTAGAATTCTGCTTCGGAGTAATGGGCCTCATTTTGACTGAAAGGTGACTGATTTCCTGGTATGCGGATTGGTCTTAAACCAACTCTTCCTTTCACACACTGGTGATATGTGGAGGGCACAAGCTTATGCTTGTTAATCCAGGGTCTTCCGAGCAAAGCATGATATGCTACCTCTATATCCAGTACATGAAACTTAGTCAAGGATCGGATAGGCCCCACTTTTAGGTCTACCTGTATATATCCAAGTGACACTTCACTTTTGTTTCCGAAGCCGCAAATGTTTATCTGGTTCTTGACTATCCTTGACAGAGGAATGTCAGCTGCCGTGAGCACGGATAGAGGCATGATATTGATGGAAGAACCAGTGTCCACCAAGGCTCTCCTAATGAACACATTATTGATTTGCCCTTCAAGATAAAGCGGCCTCCTATGGTCGGGATACGGAACCTCCATATCTTCATCAGTGAAGATAATAGCATTGTCATTCTCCAAGAATGCTCTCTGTGGTTGAGTGGTAAGGCAATGAGATCCATATTCTTCAGAGACACGCATCAGAGCCTCAGCAGCTGCTTCCCTAGCCTGTGGCCCGTAACCAAGCTGATCGAAGAGCGACTTGAATTTTGGGTTCCGTTGAAGGGCTTGTGCTGCCGTCGGCCCCTGCTTTAGACTTTGGTAGCGTTCCATTACGGTTATCTCAGCCTCCGTAAGGTTATGAAGTGTTACGGCAGTGGTTTCTTGATTTGTTT